TAGCATGTTTGTGTTTTTCAGGCTAACTTAAGCTCATAGACTAGCAACTTGAACAATAGGTAGCAAAATGCTGTATTTGTAACTTGCTGGCTGTGGAATTAGATTCCTTGGGTGAAGTTTGTTGCAGTTTTCTAGCCTTTATACACAGGTCTAATTCTCTATTATCATGCCTTATGTAATCATTTGTACCTGCCCAAAGTTGGTATAAACAATTACTTTTCTGAGTAGGTATAGTAGTCTACAGTAACTGGCAACCATTTACTATTCTACAGTAGCTAACAGACATTTACTTCTGTGGAAAGTAACACTCCCTCTGTGTGCATTTTTATAAAGACAGCATTTTACAAGTAAATAAAGTGGAGCTTATCTCCTTTGGGTTAGAACAGTAGTTCTTTAGTACATTGGTATAGCAACAGTTTAAGAATGGGATAAAATGAGATAACATCCATTCCAGTTTAAGTAACTGTCCAGTCTAAATCTGCTAACCATTTTTTAGCTATAAGTCTTGGGTTGCTTTGACTTTTTTTTTTTCCTCCCCCATAACTTATTAACAGCAGCAAACATACCACCTGCTAAAAGTCAGTACCTTAAAATGTCATTAGATAATATTCCAGATCTTTTCCACAGAGCTGAAAGCATGTAGGCACTGTTACTTTTGACTATACCATGTGGGCTTCATGGGGAACATCTTGGGGCCCAATCTGTAATCGTTATAAATCAACATTGCCTTCAGGTGAGGTGTACCTCAGTTCAGATCTGGAACTTTATTATCTGCAATCAGCCAAACTGGTAGTTCTGAAAATGTGGCATTAAAGGAACTCCTGAGTACCCATCCAATATACCTGTAGGGATACATCTCTAGTCTATTTTGAAATAAATTGTCTCTAGGAATGGAGCGATATTTTCATGGCAATCCAACTAAAGCCAATCAGGAGTACTCCTGGAAGTACTGTTTTATAGCAGAAAGTTTCATAAACTTCTTGTTGGGGTTGGTATTATAAAATTATTTTTCATATTTCTCACAGGCTATGGATGAGAGAGGGATTCTAGCCAAATAGAGCCTCTGTATCGATTTAGAAGTACATTCTGGAAAGGCTTTGCTTTATTAAAAAAAAAACAAAACAAAACAAAAAAACAACCCCTCAAAGCTTTTTTGAGCAATTGACTGGCACTGAAAAAAAAAATCTAAGCAGATGGCATTTCCACCCTGTTCTGAGCAGATGATAAGCACAGTGATTATGGTCCATATTATCTCTTTTCTGGGGTTTGCCTTTGTTAACTAAAATAACAGCAACCTATCAGCATCCCCCTAAACTTGGCTGTTCCTAGGGTTTCCCCTGCAGAGTCTGGGAGATCCTCATCTCCTTTTTCTGTTTCTCCTGGATCTGCCTATATAACCTCAGAATTGGGGAAGGGGGGGGGTGGATACTGTTGGTCTTTTAAGCAGGATTCAGTCTGTTCGCATCACAAATTACCTAACAGGAAGACCCTGTGCCCCCATGTCCAGGTTCTCTTTCTAAATCTCCTTATATATAATAAGGGATTTTCTTATAGAATATTGAAAATATAAGCCCCATATTTTCATTTTTCATATTTAAAAGCATCTCCCTTTTTCTAACAAGAAACTTCATATTAGAACAGGAAATTGGAATGACATAATTCTGAGATTTGAGGGAATTCTGCAGTGATTTTGCTTTTTCGAATATGGCCTTTTCGTTCAATTTCATGCTTTACCTTTATTTAAAACTTCATCTTATTTGTGTTTTGTTTAGTCTTTGATCTGCAACATTTAAAATAGACATTCTGTTTTTAACACAGCTCTCTAACTCCTATACATAAAAGCAGCATCCACTAAGAATAGTCTGTTTTACCAAAATCTGATCATATGGCCTGTGTTATTTTTTAAATAGCAGGAAACTTTCAAAGTGTCAGTTGTTTATTGCCATAAGTTAAATTGGCTGTGTTTTCAAAAACCTGCATATATAATAAGCTTTACTCTCCTCAAGTTCACTTGACTCTTGGGCTGAAGGGATTGAACTGAACCCTCTGAATCCTTTTATACATTTATTTTAACCAGGGTTAAATTGACTCATTATTGTTTTGATGACATCTCATAAGTAATGTTCTTTCCTTACTATCATGTGGTGATTATCTGCTTTACCCTCTGTGCCTTAAAGCAGCATAATGCTGTTGCTAAATTTGGAAGTGTAAGTGGTATTTTATATCTGTTCTTCTGTATGTTTATTATGCTGAACTGAAGGTAGAAAGAACTGCCCCCTCCTCAATAAAGGCATATAAAAGGGCTTCAGTTTGCTGTGTAAACCTGTTTTATAAATGTGTTTTCTTACTTTCGCTTAAGATAGAATTTTGTAGGAATGGCATCAATCTTGCATCAATAAACATGTTATAAATATTATTCCTTTGGAGTCCATGTAAGGGTTTTTTACTGTTTTAATGATAGTGAAGTTTTTTTTTTTTTACGGTAATATTCTGCTTTATAAACAAAAGCATTGTGGTTTAAGAAGCAACAGTCAATCTGAAGAAATAGTATAGGTCTTTTAGTTCATGGACATGTTTTTCCTTTCTCTCCCATAATGCTCAGTTTCCCAGTAGATGGTGTCTCTTGGCATCTCTCTCAAACAGCTCCAACGTTTTGCCTCAACCCTTGCCTTGCAGGCCACTCCACACATTTATTCTTTGCTTCAAGAAAATTGTTTCCTGATGTCTAAAGAAGATTTCAAACAGCCTTCCACTTATCCCCTCCCCCCTTTTTTAATCCTATCATCTGTACTGTTGTTTTGCTATTATTTGTGCTCCCCCCCCATTTCATATGTTTTGATTACATTTTAAATTGCTCCATGTTTTTATTTTTAGATTTAGAAATATGATGCCTTACATTATGAAAACCCGCCTTCTCATTTTTAATAATGCGATACTAGCCAATATTATCTTAAAGATCCCATATTTTAATTGGAGGACAGTTCTTCAATCACATTTGAAAATCTTAATTTCATGATTTCTTTTCCCTCAAAGTCTGTATTTTTTAAGCCTTCTTTATAGTTGTTAGCATTATGTCCATTTTCCCCAAATGAGTTGAGTTACACATACAATGAACCTAATTTTCCTTTAGGTACATTCTTAGTTATTTATGTTTTTAATATACTGGTACATTTTCCCTTGTCTTCCTGGAGATAATTCCAGATTGAAACTTTTGAATTAGGCCTGCATACACCATTGCCACTAACATCTTTGCATGTTGATGTGATCTGAAATTCTGGTTAGCTAAATAATTGGCTCTTTTCATTCTGGATACTGCTTGTTAAATTCCATTTGAACATCCTATTTTTTGATCCTCAGGCCTATTGCCTGCACATTACTCTACTCCAAATTTTTGTCTTATAACAACTGTTTGCTTCCATGCTTTGTGAATTGAGTTGAATTCTTTTTTTATGACAATATTCAATTTAAACATTTCCAGCAGCGGTGGTGGTAATTCTAGAGCAGGGCTCTAACACTTCCTATTCCCAGGAATGAGTTTTCTGTTTAATGTGGAAGGCAGTTCTATGTTCAGACAATTCTATATTTTCTCTAAAAAACAAACAAACCATATCCTTTTTTTGTTTTTTGTTTTTTAAATCAGTGCTGTTTGTACTGTTACATTGAGAACTTATTGCCATCTTTCTATGAAGTGGCAAATATAATTTAATTTTAAAAGTGTATCGTACTAAATCCTCCTTGCTTTTTTGTACCTACTTTTTCCTATGCTTTTGGTTTGTTTATTTATTTCCTTTTCTTATAGAAACAGATCACTGAGGCTGTGAGGTTGCATTGGTTGTGACTACTGTGGCCTAAAATGTTACATGTGTTTTTTTTTCAAATTGACTCTTTTGGCAAGACTTGTAAATTTTCCACAGTGATTAATAGGGAGGGATTTAAAAAAAAAAACCATGTTTAAGGTATTTAACTATTCTTAATCTTTCTCCCCATAATTAATTTACATTCATTCGTTATCAAATAATGACTATCCTTTATTAACTGACCATAGCATATGTATCTCGTCCTATCTACTTTTTCACATGCATACATGCCTTTGTACAGAAGGCATGAAAAATGTTATGGAGAGTCAAGCTTAAGAAGAGATGTGCTACTGTCTGGAGATGAGATAAGGTCTCTATTTAAAAACCTCTTTCACTTTCCAGCTGCTGGACAAGGAAATGATTCTGGGATTACTGTCAAGGGCCTTGAAGCTTGTTGGGAGGCCAGGTGGGGGGAAGCAGGGGAATGCAACTTCATATAACTTTGACTACTAATTATTTAATAAACCCTGAGTGTTCATGTGATTCTGTTGTTTTTTTCTGTCTCTAAGCCTTTGGGCTGATAAGAATAAAAATGATCCCCTTGTACGTATTATTCATTTTCTGCAAGAGAGCTCTCAAATATTTTCAGTGCCACTTTTTTGTCCTGCTAACCCAGGGACAGGCACAGTCTGGTCCACAGGCTGAATGGAGCTCGTGTTGAACTCCATTTACCAGCAGCTGCTGGCTGCATTGCTGCAGCCAATTTCCATGGGGGCCCCAGCAGTAGCAGGGCTATGACAGCACGGGGAAAGGATTTCCATCGAAACCAGCCCCAGCAGCACTGGCAGGGCATGCGGCTAGTCGGGGACCTGCTCCGGGGCTGGGATCTTGTCGCAGTGACAGCATGGTGCAGAGCCAGGGCAGAACTGCAGTCCATTGCCCGCGTGTCGGCAGGGGCTCCTGGGAAATGGAGTCTGGCTGCTGGCCGGATCTGCCATTTTGCCCAGCCCCATAACCAGTGAACAGCTATTTAGCTACTTAGTGTTACAGCTGATCAACATCTAGTGAGGTTCACTTTTCTCTTGGGCTTCCTAATAGTTTCTGTTTCAGTTAATAAGACCCTTATTGGTTTTAGTTCTGTTGTAACTTGGTCATGAAAACTCTGTGTGAACATCCATCCTATTAACATTAACAGTAACTTGCTTTCATGATGAATTGTAGTGTGAGATAACAGCCTTTTATTTGGGATGCAGCTGCTGCAAGGTAAATCACCTCAAATATGTTATCTTCAGTAAATACAGAATTACCTATAGTATCTTTTTAGAATTTGTACACGTGCCTGTTTTAGCAAGAAATGAATTGTTAGACTATTATTAATAGCAACTGTTTTAATTTAACTTTAATATTGACAGATTGCCGTCTCTCCTGAAAATCTAGAAGACCGGTGAAACTCGAAGGAGGTAAGATTACACTGAGCTGGTGTTTTCTTTTATTGTGAACAGTAGGAAAACATTATTTAAAAATATTTTCTTGTTCTCTGAATAGATTGCTGTTTTAATGTTGCACGATGCACAATTTTCAAACCTCTAATTGACTCTAGTACTTCACCTATACAAAGGTCATTAAAAGGTCTTGGTATGGGATAACAGTTTTAAAGTTCTTTATTTTTCCCTTGCATTTAGCTCTTGGACACTCTCATCTCTTCCTTCTCCTGACACATTTCACTGTTCCTCTGGTTGGTGTTTTTTTGCTCTGGCGGGCAGATTTTAAAGCTGGGACCAAATTGGTCTAGCAATACTAGAGGAGAAAGCGATACTCGTGTTTGCTCCCTCCACCTCCAGCTGCGAAAATATGTACATTTTTTCCTTGCCTTCTAGCAACTTGACCTCAGAAGAGTCTGTAAAGACTAAGTACCAGGGCAAAAAGATGCCTGGCTCTGTGTTTTGGGGGAAATTTTCTCTTCCCTTTTCCCCCAATCTTTGTCTTTTGAGTTGATCTTCTTAAGTCAAGAGCCTCCTAATCAGAGCAGATGGGTGGTTTTTACTTTTCTCTCTTTTTTAGCCCACTGCTTAGCAGCAAGAATTTCTCCCCCAAAGTCACTCAGTTAGACATTTACTTCTTTGTAGGGTGACTTTTATTTCTTTCTTTAATGCCTCAAAAGTGCTTGCTCTCATAATTATTTTTTTCCTGAAGTCTCTCTCCTTCTAGTGAGAAAAATATAGTTTCTTGTCCCTCTAAGAAATGGTGCTTCTCTTTAGTCAAACACCTCAGCTGAAGAGCTAAAATGGCCCCCTCCCCCCTTTTTTTCCCCTCTGGAAAGGACTTAGACTTATCATGGTCTCAAGCATAGATTCTGTACTCTTCCCTTTGCATGGAGCTAACTGCTCCAGTCCAGAAAGCACAGTATGGCAATACCAACAGTAAAAACCTTTTCCCAAAGAGTGCGTTCTAATTTGGACAGCTTTGGCTAGTGGTGACTCAGTTTATTAACAGTTTGATTACATTGATGAACTATTTATGGTTACTTCATTATGGATATTTTTATTCTGATGTAATTTTAATTAAAATTATAAAACATAAAAATATATGCAAATTCAGAAAATATTCTTAAATACGACCACGTATACAGGAATCTTCAGTGTTAAAAACTAAATTCACCTTTGGGAACTGATTAAGCATGCAAGATTTCAGAATAGTATCAGTAATTGAAAACCCACAGTTGGATTAGGAAGTTATTGATGCTCCTTTTGCAATTGCAATTATACTGTGCAGCTCTGGTACACTGATTCCTTGTCCCAACGACTTATAGACTGATCACTGTACAGTAATACGTCGGATAACAAAGTAGATATATTCCATGATGTTACTTCTTTACCAGAAACAGAAATAACATAGGAGGCATAGGGATGTGTTCCAGGATGTCAGAGAAGGGGGGTACAGTAGGAAAATATCATTAAATACTCACAAAAATAAGTGATAAATATTCACAAAGCTACTCAACTGCCAGGGCTATGGACTCAGGTGTGCAACCCCCTAAACCCGCCCTACTGCCTGCTCCAGGCATGGGTGGGGCAGCTCCCTGCCACTGTGCACACTCCTGGGCGGTAGGGGTGATTTGCACCCCCCAAAACTATATGCAGGGCAGGCTGCAGCCTTGGTCTCCCACCCTACTTCCATTCTCTGGGGCCTCTGCAGCCTGGCGGGCATGACCTGGAATGGCAGGGAACAGCGGGGCCACGCGGGGATCTCCTCATCACTGCAAGCTCCACACTGCCTTGGTGATGTGCCTCCTGTGCGCAGGGCTGCAGTGAGAGCAGCAGCACAGGGTTGTGCCCCTCAAAGCATCACACACAGGGCAGTGTGGAGCTCGCAGCAGTGCGATTACCTGCACGGCCCCGCTGCTCCTTGCTGCACTGGGTCATGCCCACTGGGCTGCAGAGACCCCGGGGGAAGGAAGCAGGCTGGGAGCCTGAGTCTGCAGCCTGTGCCTGCCCTGCATACAGATCTGGGGGATGTGGGTCTCCCCGACCCCCCAGAAATGCACATGGCAGTGGGGAGCTGGCCCTCCCCCTCTTCCAGATGAGCCACCCATGGCCCCATCCTGCTTGCTGCTGGGGCCCTGCTGCTGCACATTGTGGCCCCGGACCCAAAGCCCTATGCACTGCCCAGCTAGGCAGCAGTCCGAACCCTGCCCAGCTCCTTCCCTATAGGGCTCTCAATCCCCTTCTGTCCCCCACATACTTGCTGGAGCTACTCTGCAGGCTGTCTGGGCCCACGTGCATCTTCATGCACGTGGCGCCCCCGTCTCACCACCTTCCTCCCACTCCCTCCTAGCTCCCTGCAGGCTGGAACTCTGCCAACCTACAAGGAGCTCACTGCAGAATTTGCGGGTTTCTCTGGTAAAACGTGAAATCCATGTTTGCCTCAAAATTTTTCAATTTTTTTTTCATAAAAAAGGCCAACTTCTTTATAAAGGAGCTTCGCTTTATAAATGATCGCCTCTTGGAGAAACTGGCCAATTGTCGCCTTGGGTCCTCCACGATCCACTGGCTGGAAAATTGGCTCTGGGGTCAGACACAGAGGGTAGTAATTGATGGAAGTCACTCATCATGGTGTCTTGTGACCAGTGGGGTACCCCAAGGCTCTGTCCTTGGACCCATACTTGAGAAGCTGGATACCTTCAAGTCAGCTGGCCCTGACAATCTTCACCCCAGGGTACTCAAGGAGCTGGCGAGCATCATAGCCCAGCTATGTTGGCTAGCACTATGGAAGAAAGAGACTTGGGGGTCGTCATTGACCACAAGATGAACATGAGCCTGCAATGCGATGCGGCGGCTAGTAAAGCGACCAAAACGCTGGCTTGCATCCATAGATGCTTCTCAAGCAAATCCCGGGACATCATTCTCCCCCTGTACTTGGCCTTAGTGAGGCCGCAGCTGGAGTACTGTCCAGTTTTGGGCTCCACAATTCAAAAAGGATGTGGAGAAGCTTGAGAGAGTCCAGAGAAGAGCCACGTGCATGATCAGAGGTCAGGGAAACAGACCCTACGATGACAGGCTGAGAGCCCTGGGGCTCTTTAGCCTGAAAAAGCGCAGGCTCAGGGGTGATCTGATGGCCACCTACAAGTTTATCAGGGGTGACCACCAGCATCTGGGGGAACGTTTGTTCACCAGAGCGCCCCAAGGGATGACGAGGTCGAATGGTCACAAACTACTTCAAGATCGTTTCAGGCTGGACATAAGGAAGAACTTCTTCACTGTCCGAGCCCCCACGGTCTGGAACAGCCTGCCACTGGAGGTGGTTCAAGCGCCTTCATTGAACACCTTCAAGATGAAACTGGATGGTTATCTTGCTGGGATCCTATGACCCCAGCTGACTTCCTGCCCTTTGGGCGGAGGGCTGGACTCGATGATCTTCCGAGGTCCCTTCCAGCCCTGATGTCTATGAAATCTATGAAATTCATTCCCAGATGATTCGTTAACCGAGGTATTACTGCACTCATTACTGTGTACATAGGGATCTGTGTATTAAGTAGAATTTTTTTTGGCACTGCATTAATACGATAATACTGTAGTAAATGATGACTGCAATTCCAGGCTTTTTGTTTAATGATAATTGCTTTTTAAAGTTGATTCCCCTCTTGAGCTAGGGAACATGATTCTCCTTTGGAAAATAAATGCTAATATTCTTAAGTTCTGGGCTATGGAAGAATGGCAGATCTCGCGAAACAAAACAAAAAAACATGCTGCACCTTGCACCTAGAATAGAATTCTGGAAATACTTACTGAAAAGCAGACTTAAATAATATTAAATGCATGCCACTCTTTGTTTTAGTAACCTGTTCTGGAAACTCAGGTCTTGCAAACTACAGCAAACCAGTCTGGTAGAAATGGTTCTAGCATGTAAAAATATTTATTTTTAATGAGTATAACTACTACTAAATGATAAGGCCGCATACTTGTTGTATTTCTGTTGTTTTGTTGAATTCTTAATATAATGTCTATTGGTACCAGTGACTATTGTTTTCAGGCAGCTGTGCTAATTTTGGCAACACATTCACCATTTTATGTTCCCAATTAAGTTGTTGAGTTTGATCTACTATAATTGCATTGAATAAAAACCCAAATTATGTGTATGTCTACTTGAACCAACTTTAAAATTGTTAAGGTAAGCCTATTTTAATTCTCCAGATTTTTTTTTAAAGAACAATTTTGGACTTTCTTTGGCATAATCCAGTTTCTTTCCTTTGTAAGATAGGGAAGTGTCATCTGCAAGGTTGAAAGGAAAAGCACAGTGATTCCGGATGCAAATCTGTGTGTTTTTGTATGACGAGTGGGCTCGAGTGTCTAGTTCCATTACTTTGGATTGTTGAACCTGAATTGGAACGAATACATTTCTAGGTAAGAATTTTTCAGTATCTGCAGGTGTGTGGTTCCTTCTCTACAGTGTTTGAATGAAAGTCACAGAATCTCTATAACCTAAGATAAAGAATATTGTAATGCAACTGTACTTCTGTTAAATGTGTTTAGCTTCACTTTGGCTTCTCAATGTTGAGGAAAATAGGTCCACGCTCCAAATGGTTCCATCCTGGCAGAAGAAACTCTGAATGAAACAGCTTGTTAAGTAAAGCATTAGTCTGCTCTCCAAAAAAAATTTAAAAAAGTTGAGGCGTCATGAAAGAGAAGGAGATCTCTTACAAGAAATCCTGCAGAATCCAAAGGTGCAAAGAATAGCACGACTGTACTCTAGCTGCCCCCGGGTCTACGTTTCGTCTTTACAGTTCTCTGCTAATTTGTCCACCGTTTTCAATCTCTGAGGGCTACAGAACCTAAAGAGAGAAAGTGTCAAGCACATAATTAGGCTCTGGAATTTTGGAACACTTTTAATCAGGAAGAGGATGCTGCAGAAAACTACACACTAGTTCTAATGTTAAAAACATTGTTCCTCATCACTAGGGATCCTGGTTTTCTCTCCTAAAAATTTCAAATTCTCCAGTTTAAAAACTCCAAAATCCCTGATTTAAAATGAAACCCCCCGCAACCAGCTGCCAGGACTACGAAGCCAGGGACCCGTGTCCACAGCCCCCTGCCCCCAGCAGGAGGTGGCAGCTGCTGGACAGTGAAGCCTAGCTTCCCCCCTTCCCCTCCCGCACTGCCTCCTGCTGTGGGTTTGGGCAGGAGGGGGCTCCTATCCTGGGGGTGGTTCCCTGTGCCCCCAGATCAGTGTGCAAGGTGGGGTGGGCTCCCACCCTGCTGCCGTCCCCCGGGGCCTCTGCAGCCTAGTGGGTCTGCATGGCAGAACGAGGCTGTGCAGAAAAGGTGCTTGCAGCTGCGAGCTTCACGCTGCCCTAGCGATCTGTCCCCTGTGCATGTGGCACCAGCAGGGACAGCAGTGCAGGGTTTCCCCCTGAGTGCTGCCACCTGTGCAGGGGATGCCTCACCAGGGCAGTGCAGCAGCAAGAAGATCCCCACTCCCCAGTGCCAGGTCATGCCTGCTGGGCTAAGGAGGCCCTGGGGTGGGCAACAGGGCATGAGCCCAAGCCTGCAGCGGGCAGCCCACAATTGTCCCGCCCTGCACACAGATCTGGGGGGCGAGTCTCCCTTGTCCCCTGGGACTTTGCGCAGTGATAGGGAGCTAGCCCCATCTCCTGCCCCCCAGACAAGCCTCGTCCCACGCCCCACTGGGGCTCTGTGGCCGCGCATTGTGGCTCTGGACCCCAAGCCCCACACACTGCATGGCTGGGCAGCAGCCCCAGCCCTGTCCAACTCCCTCCTTCCCTTCCTATGGGGGCCTCAATCCTCTGTACCCCCCACTTACCTGTGGGAGCTACTCTCCAGGCTCTGGTGGCCACGTGCATATGCACGCACGTGGTGCCCTCTGCCTGACCGCCCTCCTCCGCCAGCCTGCAGAGAGCTCTTTGCAAAATTGCAAAATCTGTGCGTTTCTCTGGTAAAATGAGAAATCTTCATTTTCCTCCAGCAAAGGGGGAAATCTGTGTTTTCCTTTGTTTTCCTGTGGAAAACAGAAAACCCGGATCCCTGCTTATCACCTTTTCTTTCTTAGACTTTTTGGAAGGAAATATGCTGTTTGAGCTAGGCTGTCTGTCAAATGATGAATCAAATGAGAAAGGAAGCAACACTTTTTCATACAGCATTCATATTGAGAATAAGGAAAATAAAAGTAGTAAATTGGTTAGAAGAAAAAAAACAGTCCATAAAATGTGGAAGTAAATCCCTAGGTTAGCCTTTCCCTTCTTTTCTGTCAGCAGGATAGCTGTGTGAATCATCAAGCAGGAGATGCTGCACATCAAATACTGCAAAAAAGCAAGTTGTTGCAGGAGGAAACATTACATCTATCCCACATTCTGAACCAGGGGGGTGCCAGCCAAACAGATTTGGTTCAGCTGCAAACAAGAAGCTCCATGCCAGTCTGTAGTCCATAAGAACTGTCAGTGTTAGAGCTGAGATGATGGGTAAAAGCAACAGAACAGCAGCAGCTTATTGTGGAATGCTGAAGGATTCATAACTTTGAGCTCAGGAGAGACCACAGTGATTGTCTAGTTTGGGGTGTTAAACTCACCCTGGGCCCCAGGCTGGCCAGATCTAGACTGCAGCTGCTCATTCCTGGCCAGATTTATGGGTCCACATTCAGGTGACAGCATAGGCTTGCATTTGGGAGGCTGTACAGAAATGGGGGATTGTGTCTGCAAGGAAATGGGTCCAGAGCAGCACAGAGCTCTGACAGGGCAGCAGCACGTAGCTGAAAGTGTGCAGCAGCAGTGCAGTTGAGCCAGAACTCTGCACCGCTGCATGCCTCTTGTAGATGCATGCCTCCAGCTCTGTGCTTCATTAACATGGGTCCTCACTGCTGCACATCCCCAACATTACCAGCTGGCCAGTGTTCAGGACGTGACATGGAGCCTTGGGTGTGTAATTGCACAAACATGGCTTCTTCCAGCTGCAAGCCTCTAGCTTCAGTACCCTCAGGCAGCAGCATGGAGCTGGGGGCATACAGCTGCCTGAAGCCAAGTTTGCAGAACTGCTTGTCCACTGTTCCATACTGCTGTCTAGTGGCGTGAAGCTCTGGCTGGTTGGTAGTGTTGAGAACATGTGGGACCTAGCGGTAGTGCACTTTTGGTAGCCCATCAGACTACTTGTGGGCTAGCTACAACATCTATGTGGACTGGGTGTTTGACTCCCCTGATCTAGATAGTCTAAACTCTTGCAGGATGTGAACCAGAGAATTTTATTCAGTTACTCTGCAGTGGAGGGAACCGTTTGCCATTAGGCCAATAAATATGTCCTTACTATACAAGTCAGCAGGCCCGGATGACTTCCATCCACGGCTGCTGAAAGAATTGGCTAGTGTCATAGCTGAGGCGCTGGCACAGCTGTTTGAGAACTCATGGTGCTCTGGCCAGGTCCCTGAGGACTAGAGAAGGGCCAATGTGGTGTCCATATTCAAGAAAGGGAGAAGGGATGAGCCGGGTAACTTTAGACCAGTCAGTCTTACCTCTATTCCTGGGAAAATGCTAGAGAAAATAATCAAAGAACACATTTGTGCAGGCCCAGCAGGAGAAATGATGTTGAGGGGAAACCAGCACAGGTTTGTTGCAGGTAGATCCTGCCTGACAAACCTTGTAGCCTTCTATGACCAGGTCATACACTGCCTGGACGTGGGAGCCGAGGCTGATGTCATCTTCCTGGACTTTAGGAAGGCCTTTGACACAGTTTTGCACCCTATCCTCATTGGGAAGCTAGCAGACTGTGGAGTGGATGCCTACACGGTCAGGTGGGTGGCCAACTGGCTTAGGGGACCGCACCCAGAGTGGTGGTGGATGGTTCCTTCTCGGCCTGGAGGGAGGTGGG